TGCACTGACACGGCGTGTTCAGTGCCGATTCCCAACCCACACAAAGAGCTGGAGCTTCCTGAAATCGTTGCCTGGGTCAGAATGTTTACCTCGTTTCGGGATCTTGCGGAGCTGGATGGAATAAAGAGTAAAAATCAGCTCCACAAGTATTTCTGAAAGTTGTGTAATAGTTCCCTTACGCAGTGAGGGTTGTAAAAGCAGGTTCTAAACTAMACACATAGCCCAGGGCAGGAAGCATTTAACTTCTGTCTTGGGGTTTGTCATCATAAAACATCCTCTTTACAACCCATCAAGATCCGAAGTTGGTTATGGCAGGTGGAAGGCAGGAAGTATGTTTGTACCTTGGCACAATCCACCACCTCCTGCAACTTTCAAAAGTAGAAGAAATGAATTCCAACTTTTCTTATTTCAACAACCTAACTGTGCTTTAGAGGGACCTTCCACCCCCCCCTCCCCCCCCCCCCCCCCCCCCCCCCCCCCCCCCCCCCCCCCCCCCCCCCCCCCCCCCCCCACCCCCCCCGGGTATTTCTACTCAGCAGTGATACTCCAGACCACAGACTGTACAATCTCTGTAATTTCTGTACGTGTAAATAGCTCTATTAGACTCAGCAGCCAGATTTGGTTTCTGGTCATTCCAGGCTAAAGCCAGGCACATCCAGTGAAGAAGTTTGTTTTGCCCCCAGGAATGAGTTCGGCAAGGTTGTGTGTCAAAAATTGTATCTGGGTCACTCAGTCTCGTGTGTTTTCAAGGTTTTCTATTTGTGTAATTCTGTAATCAATAGACACAGCTCTAATTGATCCCAACAAGGTAGTTTTGAAGAACAGTAATAACAAAGATAATTATAGTAGCCAATAAAATCATTTATTTTTTAAAAAGACCAGTAAAACCAAGTTGCTAATTTCAAAAGCATGCTTTGAAAGGTGAACCAGCGTAGTTTGATATACTAAGCAAAACACTTAAGTAATGGTTTTAAAATGCAAAATTAAAAAAAAAAAAAGGAAAAGTATGCAGAAGTCTTTTAAGTAAGCCATTTTGCAAGTATCTGGGATTCACTTGCATTTGTACAGACACATGGTATTTCTGTGTTTGTCAGTTGTTTCCCACAGCCAAAGGTTCACATTTTATAATGGTATTCCCCACAAAACTAAGATGCAGTGGGGCCAACATGCTTATAAATTCGTAATTAAATATGAAGTAACCCTAGAAGAAATAACAAGCAATATACAGGATGTATTCCAATACTGGCACATTCCAGTGATGGGAACCTCTGGGGCATCTCAATTCAGCAGACTGTATATCCCACTTCATTGCTATGTTAGAAACCATTCGCATGATTATACTCTTTCAAAAAAAATCTTCTTCTGACAAAGGCAGTAAAAAAACCTTGCTCTGTATTCTCTTGCCCATCACACTTTAAGCATTGAAGTGCCTGTTAGCATGTTTTACATAACTTTGAAATAAACTTGTTTTAAAATTTCTATCTGCATAAATGACATATCAGAAACTAAAATTGCTTTAATTTTATGAAGGAAAATAAATATTTGGCCTGTAGACTGAAACACTCCTGTTTTTCTGCTAGATGTAATTAATCTAAATATTACAGATGACGTTAGGCACTGCTGGTTGCAGTTTTCAAATGTAATTTGTGACTACTAGTATTGGCATTGTTGGTAACTACAGGCACATTATGAGATTGCAGTGCATTCTAAGAAGGAGCAATTAGCAAGGTTGCCAGACCAGAAAAATGCAGCTGCTCTAACAAGGACACCATCTGAAGAAATACCTGAGCTAAAAGGAAACATACTTGTTCATGCTGTGGTTACAAAACATACAATTGACCTTCTTGGCAAGACCCCATGCCCTGTAAATAGGAGGGGTTGGCTGTGACAGAGCTGTGTGGAGAATTCCGTGCTCAATTGCCACATGAGGCATCCAGTTTAAACTTCAGGAGCTACTGCTGCCTGACCTTATGTAGCTCTGCTTTGGAGCAGGAGCAAAAACACATCCTGAAAAGCAGCAGATATCTGCATGTCCATGACATTATGAAGCTGCTCTTGTTTGTCTTGTTTGTCTGTAAGGATGGGAGAGAATTGTCTGATTTTACTACTCAAACTATGACCAAAGACACCTTTTGGGCATCTTGTTCTTGGGAAGTTMTTCAGTCTGAACCCCAGGAGAGCCTCTACCCCAGTCGCTCCTTGCCTTGACCAGCGTTCAGTTTTCTGGTGGGGTCAGAGTATCATGTTGCAGGGGAGCTTCAGTCCAGGGGGGTGCATGTAGGAGACCTGAGCTCTTCCACCAAAGCCTGTCTGCTCCATGCTGCTCCCAGGAGTGAAGCTGAAAGTGGGGCTGTACCCARTGTTCATCCTTGTCTCCTTGATGAGCATATTAAGGGGGCTTCAGCAGAAGGGCAGGAGATAAGCCTACCCTTGTTACCCCCCACCAGCTGGTGGGGAAGATGCACYTGCAGTTTGAAAGCCTGCTCAAAATCAAGCAGGATTTGAATGTCAAGCTCCTTCCTGATTATCCTTTGCAATCAAAGAACATTTATGGTGGTTATTTTTTTAAAGTAATGTTTTATTTKGATTTCCTTGTTTTTTGTGTGAAAAGGTTGAGTTTGGTAAGTGGTTTAACAGGTGGCAATCCATGGTGAAATGACTGTTTGGCCTGAACTACCTTTGAGGATGGGAATGAAGACCCAGATCTTCTGAGCATTTTCTGGTGACAAAATGAGCGCTGCTGCCTGGTTCTTAYCAGACCTCAAGGCCTGTAATTCATGGGCTTAGAAACATGACTGAATTCAGGCAGCAGTTGACACGAGTCAGTAGGACACCTAGAAAAAAGGCATTGCCACTGAGTCAACGTGAAGCACCTCTGGGTGTCCTATAGGCAATCCATGTGCCCATCAGATTTTAGCACTGGAATAGTAAATGCTAGAGGCCTCATTCAAGGACAGATTTCCACTTACAGCTGGGRCAAATAAATGGTGACTGTTGGGCATCTCCAGGGAAGGGAGGGCCAAACAGCACTGTCCTCGGTAACAGGTGTCTTCTCCACATGCTCTCTTGATTTGTCCTTGCTTCTTGTGGACCTGTGTTTTAT